ATTTGTATGGCATCAGTTTCCCTCTATCCAGTCACCCCGAATTCCCAGGCTTTAGGGGAGTGCTTCGCATCGATAAGTCGCCCACAAGGCGGTGGACAAGGTGTCGCAGTTCATTTCTGGCATAATAATTCGTAGCTCGTCTCTTTTTTCCAACAGCCCAGCTTCCTTGATTTACCCCATTCCATGTGTGCCCCTCAAGCTGGGGCCGTTGCCTCACCCCCGCTCACACTATAAGGCTTGAAAAAGTCTGCATCGTTACTGAGCTCCTCTTTGACCTATTTCAGAGTTAGCTTTTTTTTCCAGTGTCAGCTTCCCAGGTTGCGTCTCGATATCACTTACAATGTCCAACCCACCGACCAACTCCCCGCTGATCCAAAGTTGAGGATAAGTCGGCCACTCAGCGTACTCCTTCAGCCCTTGCCTGACCTCGTCGTCAGCGAGAATATTGAAGAATCCATACTTGACAGAATTCTCCCGCAGAATTGCGACCATTTGACGAGAGAAGCCGCACTGCGGACCACTTGGAGTACCCTTCATGAAGAGCATAACAGGTGCAGCCTTGACTAAATCTGCTAAGCGTTTGAAGAGTTCTTCTTTTTGTTTCTCGGGATCAAGTGGTGCCGCAGGTTCTTCAGCTTTAGCGACAGTTTGAGCGACTCCGCCGGCGGTGTCGGCCTGTGCTGCACCTGCACTGCTGGCGTGCGTCTCGATTGCGGTTCGAACTTTGACAGCGCTGCTGCCGCTGACAGTCTCGAGGACTTGGCCGTTCCGGATCAATACTAGGAATGGAACGGCCGTGACTTCGTAGGCTTCGCTGATGTCGCTGAGGTCCTCTGCATTGACAGAAACCCACTTTGTGGCGGGAGGCTCGGTGACTGGGTATTCGGACGCCAGCGTCGCCAGGACTGTAGCCATTTGGGCACATGGAGCCGCCCATGGAGCGTGGAAAGAAACCACTAGAAGCGTAGATGGAGGCAGCGACGCAAGAAGCTGCTCCCACTGGGGGATGCTCTCCACCTCTGTAATTGTCGACATGTTTTCCCCTTTCGTGTCCAGGACCCGTAGATTCGGTGTGTCAAGACGTCGAGATGCAGTGGTGGTGATTTTTTTTACCCAGTCATGCGATCTGGATATGTCAGGCAGTTGGTGGGTGCGAAGTAGATCATAACTGCGGAATTTGGCGGGGCAGGCGATATCGCAATCCGTAGCCGACGAGGCGCGACGGCGGGTGAGTGGCGGGGCTTGAGACCTTGCGTCATTTCGGCACCGGTGCCCTCCTTCGGCTTACGTGCAAAGTGCATCCTAGTTGCATAATATGTCTTTAACCGTCGCCCAGACTCCGCAAACCCAAACGCCCAATCTGGTGGATACCTGGGCACCTATTACCTGCCCAGGAGGCTGCTAGCAGGGCTGTGCAGTGTAGCGTAGCGCCTGCTGCTGCTTACTGGACTTTGTAGGTGAGGTAGCTCGTTGCCCGAATACGTGGTGGTGTTGGTCGTACGTCAATGGCATGCGTACCCTGCCCGTTCTTGCAGCTCCACAAGCCAACCTCTCCCAACATCTTCTACTCCTCCTGTCTTGTCCAGACGACGGCAAACACTTCTTCCACGGAGCAATTCGCATTCGTCTGAGGAAGTGCTGCGATCAAGGCATCTTGTGTGTCTTCTCTCCTCCTCCTTCACCTCCTCGAGTACCCCTCTTTTCATCTGGATTGACTGGTGGATCCTCCTCACTCCAATTCCAGCAACGTCACCGACCTCCCCCCTTCCACCACCAAACCTACCTCTCCAAAACAACCGCATATTTCCTTCGAGATGGCGTCGCTAAATCTATCAATTAACGGCCCCTCTATTAAGAGCAGCTACAATGGAGTCATCAACGGGCCGGCACCCTCGACCGACTCTCCCACCCACGCCCAGTGGGCCCTCTTCACCGTACAGGCACCATTGCAGAACGCCTTCCAAGACAGCGGAGCTAAGGAGAGCATTCTGAAAGTGCAAGGCACCGGAGGTGAGGGAATTGGGAATTGAATCGCATGGATACAGCTTGTTGACCTTGTTTCAGATGGAGAGTTGTCCGACTTGATCGAGGACTTTAGCGAAGGACGTGTCCAGTATGCCTTCGTCAAGGTGAAAGACCCCAACTCCGGCCTCCCCAAATATATCCTCATCGCCTGGTGCGGCGGCGGCGTACCTGAACGCACCAAGGGATACTTCACAAGCCACACCGCTGCCGTCTCAAAGATCTTGCATGGCTACCATGTGCAGATTACCGCTCGTTCCGAAAGCGACTTGGAGCCCCAGGCCGTCATGGAGAAGGTCGCCAACGCATCGGGCGCCAAATACTCTGCTGGCTCATCAATTGGCGCCCCGGCCCCCCGGCCCCCCGTAAAGTCGAAGCCCGTATTCACCCCAACCACATATAGCGCCGGCCGAGTTGATCCCATCGTCGCCGCCCGAACGAAGAAAGATAGCAACGTGGACGAGGATGGCTGGGGCGCGGATGCTCCTCCCGTTTCCAGATCTCAGATCGAAAAGGTCGATTCCGCTTACAAGCCCACCAAGGTCAACATGGCGGAGCTCACCAAGCAGAAGCCCGAATCCTCCCGTTTCTCTGCTGCGCCACCCAAGCCCGAAGCTCCTTCTGATGTGGTTAGGGGTGGTTACCAGCCCATTGGAAAGGTTGATATCGCTGCTATCCGAGCGCAGGCCAAGGAGAAGAACGACGACAGACCCACTCCTGTCAAAGGCGCATACGAGCCTGTAGGCAAGGTCGATATTGCTGCCATCCGGGCCAGGGCACAAAAGCCTGCGAATGAAGAACCGGAACCGGTCGAGGAGTCTAAGCCTCTCTCCGAGAGGGCCGCTGCTTTCAGCCAACCCCCGGCCTCCGAGCGGCTCACATCTCTTCCCAAGCCCAAGGTTGCCAACAAATTTGTAGGTAGTTCCAGCTTCACCGGGACCAAGCCCCCGACTGGGGGTCTGGGTTTCGGCGGGCCGTCAGTTCCTTCCGCCGCGCCTGTTGGTGCCGCCAGCCGTACCTTTGCCGACCAAGGTGGAAAGACGCCAGCCCAACTCTGGGCCGAGAAGAAGGCCAAGGAGCGAGGGGTGGATGTGGGAAGCGTCAGCTCGCCACCTCCTACCGCGTCACCTGTTGAGCCTCAGACCAGCGGAGGGGGATGGAAGAGCGGGTATTCTGGAAAGAGCTGGGCTCCAGTTCACACCTCATCCCAGTTCGGCCGACCCGACGAATCTATTGCTCAACAGACCACCGGGGAGCAGGACAGGTCCATCGAAGAAGAGACACCTGCTTCATCTGGCGGAGTTGCGGCATTGAAGGATCGATTCAAGGGCACGGCACCCATCTCTGCTGGATCTGTGCCTCAGATCCCGCGAGCTGCTGAAGAGGAGCACGATGATGCCCCGCCTCTCCCCCAGAGCTCTCGACCTTCGGGAGGCTTTGCTCTTCCTGGCCTTCCTAGCAGGCCTGCGCCGGCGGATGAACAGGAGGAGGAGCAGGAAGACCCCTCAGCCTATGAGCCTGAAAGAGAGTCTTCTCCCGTACGCATTGCCGTTCCGGTCTCGGCCTCTCGCCCAGTCGTTGAGCCACCGGAGGCACGAGCACCACCCCCTATCCCGGCAGCCGAAATCGATGTGCCCCACGAGGACGAGCTTCCTGACGAGCAGGAGCAGACACGTGCTGCTCGAGGTGCTGCCACGGCTGTCGCTGAACAAGAATTTGAGCCTGAGCAGGTTGCAGCTGCCCAGAGCTCCCAGGGTGGTTACCGCGCAGTTGTCCAGTACGACTACGAAAAGGCTGAGGAGAATGAGATTGAGCTCATTGAAGGCCAGACCGTCACCGATATCGATATGGTCGATGACGACTGGTGGCTAGGAACCAACTCCAAGGGCGAGCGGGGTCTGTTCCCCAGCAACTATGTCGAGATCACAGAGGAACCATCTGGTGGCTCTGCTCCTGCTGTTACCGCCGCCGCCCCCGTCCAGGAGGAGACTGCTCCTCCTCCGCCTCCTCCAGCAGCCTCGCGCCCGGCTGCCGCCGGCCCCACGGCGACCGCTCTGTACGATTACGAAGCCGCCGAAGACAACGGTAAGTAGAACTAGAACTATTCAATCGCAACCCTCGCTAACATGCCTTGCAGAAATCAGCTTCCCCGAGGACGCCAAGATCACGAACCTGGAGTTCCCCGACGAGGACTGGTGGGCTGGCGAGTACAATGGCAAGAAGGGTCTTTTCCCTGCCAACTACGTACAGCTCGACTCATAAAATCTCCCTTCTTCCTCTTATCATTCTGAACAAAAGATAACTAGCACGGTGGGGATATGCGATTTCCATTTCGGAGGGTTTGACATTCATCTTGGGGCTAGCAAGCGGTAGCTTTGTAGGTAGCGGAAGGAAAAAAGAAACGAATGGAATGCGTTGCGGCCAATCCCTTCTAAACAAGAATTCTGAATTAAGATAAAAACCAACTGTGCATCCCTAACAGATTCGCCCATTGCCAATAATCAAATTAAGGAGAATAATGTGAAGTAGAATCTCAGGTCTGTATATACAGGAAGTTCAAGAGACAGAGGGGCGGGCAGCGAGCGTCATACAGCCGGCTACCATACTCAACGAGGCCGGTCCGACCTCGGATGTGTCATTATATTATATGACCTCTCGTTGATGGGCAATGCGATTGTTCGCGATTCAAGCAACCGTCGTTCCATTCCAGTGGAGCTCCATCTCGACTGCCCATATATATATCCCTTCATGCCTCATCCCTTGTTTCCCTCGGAGGATTCCCAAGACAGAACAGGTCGTAGAAAACGGTGGTGAAAGGAAGGTGGTGTGTGATTGTGGTAAAATGATCGTGGTGCTACTTTTAGCAGCAGCATTCGCAGCATTCGCAGCTATAACAAAAAGTCATCACATTAGCAAATCTAGATCAAGGGCGACACTCCATTTCAGAATTGGGGAAATTCTGGGCGCTGGGGAAAAACCTACCAGCACTCGCAGCACTCCTCGACGGCGCAGCAGAAGCAGATGGTAGCCAGACAGGCGAGCAGGCAGTTCCGCTGGCCCTTCACACCGCTATCGCCGCCGCCGTGGTTGCCCTTGTGCTCCGGAGGGGGCTGCTGCTGATACTGCATGGGCGGCGGACCGCCGTAGCCCTGCTGAGGAGGAGGACCCTGCTGGTAGTAGCCGCCCTGCTGGGGCGGGGGGCCGTTGTAGTGGCCCTGGGGAGGGCCGTAGGACTGCGACGAGCGAGAATGGTCAGCGCGAGAAGTTAATTGCCATTGCGACGAAGTTTGTCGATTTGGCGATTGGTGCTCTTTGCTGGTTATCGCAGCGAAGCAAACTAGTGGGGTTGGGCCACGCGGCGCTGGGAGAGCTCTGGGAAGCTTCAACTTACAGGCTGGGGGTGCTGGGGGTAGCCTCCACCCTGCTGGTTGTAGTAGTCGTTGGCAGACATCGCGGGAGGTCAGAGGGCTCGGTGCGCGGGACGATTCGGGGGGAGACGTGATGCGACGATGGCTAGAGAGGGAGGAGAGCGATGGGAGGGAGAGAAGAGAAGAAGAAGAAGAGTTTCTGGAGAAGAGCGGAAGGGAGAGCAGAGTGGAAAAGCATGCCGAGCCAAGAGTTTGAGATGGCGCGTACAGCCTAGAAAGAGCAAAAGTAAAGCTCCAGTACGTACCTGCGCTGCCCGTACTACCACAGGGAGTCTGCGGCCTAGACCTTGTCGGATCCTCGAGCATGATGGCGGTCGGGGGCAGCCCCGCCCAAATTCTCCATTCCCGCTTGTCCCGTGCCGGCTCTCTGTCAGTAGCGCCTTCGGTCAGGGTGCACAGGGTAGGGCCGGCAGACGTAATTCCGATCCGGCGGACCTTAAAAGCATATCCAAAGTAAACTTCCTGGGAAGTTGCACAAACGAGGTGGTCCTAATACGAGGAAATGATGTTTTGCTTCTTCAGAAGAGCCACAGTGACTAGTATTGAGTGGGTAGAGACGCATTGTACAAGACATTGACTATGATTTCCCCGTTTTATTCCCCCACAGAGCCTCTGCAAGGGACCTCGGGCATTTTGCCGTAAGCTGATGAACTGAACCTCTTCTACGGTCTGAGCAATGACGAATCACCAGTTGCCCAACGGTATCTGGCGCTTGCAATACAGCCCGTATTAGGCAAGTGCCAAGCTACCAGCTTCAGTTGGTTGAACCCCAGGATAAGGATCGAGAAAAGGGCACGATGTCTCATCCGTGCAAGCGCAGAACGAAAAAAGACCGAACAGCCTCCTCTGTCGTCATATTCAGCTCCTTTCAGCTGAGGACCAGACGGAACCACCGGGGCAGCTCCTGGTTGGCGAGCGTTTGCGCAATTAGGTTCTGTCGGCGTCGCCGCAAGCCACTACACTCTCAGCCGAAAGCCACCTAAGACCTACATAGATAGCAACTTTGCCTGAGCAGGCCCTAGCAAAAACCTTGGTGTGGGTGGGGGTCACTAGCCTCGCTGCCAATGCTGCATTTCCCATCTTTGCCCAAGCTGTGATACGCGCAGCCCAATCGCCCTGGACATGGAGAACTGAAAAGACCCTGATGAAAAGATTGGAGCGCCAACGGCCCCAGATACTTACGTACCACCGCCACAGCCAGTCAGCATCGTGAACATGGGCGAAAGAGGGGCCGGCAGATTGGTGCCACAGGGACCGCTACGTAAGACCAACAGGGGAGTGGAGCGGAGTGGAGAGGAATTGGAGCTGTAGCCCAAACCACCTGGACTCGGGCTTCGAGGCGCACCAGCCACCTGAAGCCACACGTGCGTTCCGGCACCTACCCTACAGACACGAGAGCCAACCTCAGCCTCAGCTCACCTTCACCTCACCCTCACTTCGACGCGGCGTGGTTTGTTTACATCGATCTTTTTCTTTCGGAACACCATTTTGGCTAGCCTGTGATCTTCACCACACTTCCAAAACAACAATTCCGAAAGAAGATCTTTCCAACTCATCACACCCGCATCTACTTGCACCCTTTCCAACTTTTACTTGGTGATATCTTCACCTCAGCCCATCTTCAATTTCGAAATCCCGCTCAAAACACAAGGTAGAACCAAAATTTGATAATCTTCAATGGGATGACGATTTTCTCTCTCCTCCTCCCTCCCCTCCAAAATCAAAATCTCCAGAGTGACAATCTCCTCCGATCTGCCGAATACAGCGAGAACCGTCTGATGCTCTTGCATCCAAAGATCAGACGCGATGATTCACGAAATGGATTCGGTCTCTTTGCCCCGTACTCCCCCCTCATTTCTCACTCGAGACCTATGGCCTTCTACGAGTATCGCCAGTGAATCCTATCCTTTCCCATGAGTGATTCATTTCCCTCTCAACGAGGACGTGGTGGTTCTATACCCCATAAAACGCTGTTTCCCACGCCCTTTGTTCCCCATCATTGCATGGTTATTGTCCGCCAAAGAACGAAAACTTGCTCGCATATGACCTTTATCAAAGCTCACCAGATTTAGCTTCCCCAACATACGACTACCAACAAGTTAAAGAAGACGATACAAAAATCGCACCCAGAGTCAACGCTTTGATTCTTGCTACTCAACTACCATCGCCATGGAACCCAACCCTCACGGGAAAAAGGATCATCCTTCTGATCCAGCACCATCAGCAGGACCAAACCTGGCGGGTTCTCAAGCAATGAGCAGAAAAAGAAGCAATCCTCAAGCTAATGCCGAATTGACATCTGTCCCTGCGGACCAGCCCATGGCAAATGCTGAAACCGGCAATCTTGGAGAATCTGCTGCGAAGAGGCCCAAAGGCAACCGTCACTCCTCCTTCATGTGGGCGGGTGACGAACCCCACAAAGGCTGGAAAGCATCCTATGTCGCCATGACAAAGTGCGACTTCTGCTCCCTATCAGGCAGAGGTGTTGTCCACCAGTGTAACGATTGCAAATTAACTGTCTGCGGGGAATGCGTCGGCAAGGGCGAACTGGAGGGCGATCAAGTCCACAACATCAAACCTGGCTCACTCAACTGGGAGCTCCCCAAGAAGCCCAAGGCAAAGGCCCCAAGACACCCGCTCCCACCAAAGCCCCCCGGTGGTAAATGGACCCAAGACAAGGGAGCCAAATCGCGCGGGGGACCCTCAAACGGGGCCCCAGGCTTAGTAGGACCATTGGAACAGCGACCATTCGGAGGAACAACTGCTGGACCATGGGCAACTCCACTATTGGTTCATGGAGGAGAGATTAACCACAACGGCGCTCAGGCTCCTCCTTTCGGCCAGATCGTACAACCACCCGCTGCTAACTTTCAGTTTCGCTACCCATATCCGATCCCACCTCCTGTAACTCTTCCCCAGTCAACTGGACCTGTGGAAAGCTTTCATGCTCGCAACGGAAACAAGCAGAGCTCTCATGCTCGTGAAGCAAACCAGCAGAGCTCTTACGCTCATTACGGAAACCAGCAAAGCTCCCATGCTCATGACGGAAACCAACAGAGCTCTTATATTCGTAACGGAAACCAGCAGAGCTCTTATATTCGTGACGGAAACCAGCAGAGCTCTCATGCTCGCAACGGAAACCAGCAGAGCTCTTATATTCGTGACGGAAACCAGCAGAGCTCTCATGCTCGTGAAGGAAACCAGCAGAGCTCTCACTCTCGCAACGGAAACCAGCAGAGCTCTCATGCTCGCAACGGAAATCAGAGGCGCCAAGATACACCTTTTAAAATAGAGTCAACAGACATATCACACCCGAGAAACGGGGCTGCAAGGGTAGTTCCCACGCCACTTGACCTCAGCTATCTTCAAAACAACCGGAGTGCTCCCAAGTCATCTAACGATCTGATGGCCCCGCAGGCATCCAATGATCAGACTGCTCGTCGGCCGTCCAACGATCTGGTGGCCCCGCGGGCATCCGATGATCAAACTGCTCGCTGGCCGTCCAACGACCTGACTACTCCACGGTTATCAAGCGATTTGACTGCTATTTCTCAAGCAAACCAGATCAATGCCTCTTTTATAGAGTACATCCAGCGTATCCAGGCAAAGGACCCTTCTCGCAACCCTGGGGTCCAGTTGCCCTCGATCGACGAGTTATTCAAGACTCTCCAGCCTCAGTCTCAGCCGGCATCTAACACCGCTTCAAATACCCTTCCGGACCCCGTTCGACCCCGACAACCCCGCGAGAAGCCAACCTCAGCCCGCCCCTTGGCCTGGGGCGCAGACCTCGTGGACAGAGCCCTCGAAACGAACAGGGAAATCCCAGCTTGGACTATAGACATGTGCCTCCGTCATGAGATCAACCGAACCTAGGAGGCGGGTGACTTGCACCGGCTGACGCAGAGCGAGGCCGCCGCCTTCCAGGCGATCCTTGGGGCGACCTACACCGCGATTAACATGCTTAGTTTACACCCGGTGAAGAGTGCAGCGAGACAGTGGGTGTGTGAGCAGGAGCAGAAGATCAAGGACAAGGGAGTGAACCCTTTTGGTCTTTGATTCATATTTTGTGGAATGGCGGCGAGAGAGTCATTGCTGTGCGGACAAGAGACGAGATTGAAGGAACAAGGATCCATGTCGCTTTGCATTTCGTGTTGCTTCGGTTTTTCTTTTCTTTTCTTTTCTTTTCGTTTCTTTTTTTTTTCAAAGTGCGGCAAGACAGTGTTTGCGCGGACAAGACAAGAGTGAAGGAACGACGAGTGAACCTCTTTGCTATTTCATGTTGATTTTGAGCTTTAGGAGTGCGGCGAGACATTTGTTTGTACGAACGCGAGACCGCAATGAGGGAGCAAGGAGTAAGGAGTGAAGTTTTCTGCATTTCAGGTTGGTTTGAGTTTTAGGAATGCGAAGAGAGAGTGGTTTGTGCGAACAAGAGACAACAAGAGTGGAGGAGCAAGGAGCGAGTTCTCTATGCAATCCAGATCGACTTGGTTTTCGGGAATGTGGTGCGAGTCAAAGGAACAACGATTGGGTTCTCTCTGCATTCCAGATTGACTTGATTTCAGAGAATTCGGAGAGAGAGTGGTTTGTACGAACACGAGGCGAGAATGAAGGAGCAAGGATTGGATGAGTCTTGAACAGATTTCATGCTCATTTGAACTTTGAGAATACGGTGGGAATCGGCGAGACAGACAGTGGTGGTACGAACAGGAGACGACAAGGGCGGAGCGAGGATCCAATCCTCGGTGTATGGCATTTCATGTTGCTTTATTTTTGGAAGTGCGCACTCGCGGCACGGAGGACAAGTTACGAGAGATCATATCGATGGGATCAAAAGCCAGACGTCCGGTCACCTGCGGATTAGACGAAATCCATGGCTTTGAAAGTTACGATTGCGGTGGATCATCTGAATAGCTGCACAGACTTAGGACAGATCCCAAACAGAGTAGATGATCATAAGATAAAAGGAGCTTCTTTTTTCAACGTTGACCCTCGCTGCTGCCAATGTGCTAACCCTCCACGCGTATCCGCATAGTTTCAAGCAGCCCGGCAACAGAACACTGCTGAAGCTGAGCAGCTCTAAACACAAGAGAGAAGGAAATTTGGCCTGTCTAAATCCCCTAGTCATGACACATGAAAAACATTCTTTTGAATTTTTAATTTCTCTAGCGACATGGAACTCGTAATTTACTCCTCGGCTCCCTCAGCCTCGGCCTCCTCCTGGGGCCCATCCTCATCATCCTCATCCTCCTCAAAGGTGCCGACGGGGACCTCGTACAGGCGCAGGATGGACTTGTTGGGATCCTTGACGAGGACGAACTTGCCGTCGTCGCGCTGGAGGCACATGTCGGCAATGGTTCGGACGATACCCCAGCCGTTGGACAGCGACAGGTTCATCTGGTTGGCGAAGTCGCGAGGCTTCCAGCCGATGACGCCCAGGATGACGTGCTTATCGTTGGAGCGGGGGTTGACACGGGAAACGAAACTAGAAAAGATAAAATGTTAGCGTTGTGTCAGCGGATGAGATGCTATGATACGTACCCAAGCTTCATGATGTCGGACTTGGACAGGATGCTCTGCACGGTCCAGCGAGCGAGCTTGCAGCTGTTGTTCTTCATCTCGGTCGCCACCACGGCACCGCGCTGGGTGACAAGCTTGCTCCTCCAGTCCAGGGCGCCGCCGCTGCCCTGGGCCTTGCTGTCGAACTCGTTCAGGGCCTTGATGGTCATGAGCTGATCCTCGCCGCTGATGCTGTTCTTCTGGACGGCATCGACCTCGGTACGGACGATGAGGTAGACGGGGTCCTCCTCGTTGGTCGACAGGTCGAACCTTCGGTACCTGTAGGCCTTGCTGGCGGGCGGGTCGGTGTCCTCTGAGGCGTTGTAGAAGGGGTTGCTGTGGGCCATCTGGACCTTGGCGGACTCGCTCTCGTTGACGACCTGGTTGGCGAAGTTGTGGTTGATGTAGGTGGCCTCCTCAGCAAGGGCAGCGGGCTGGTTGACGCTGTCCTTGCTGCCCTCGGAAGCATCCAGAGGAGAGTCGGCGGCGTTCTCGTTGACCGTCACCATATCCAGAGTGGCATTCTCGCGCTTGTCGAGGAAGATCTTGTTTCCTTGGCGCACAATGACGATATCCCAAGGGTAGACGGAGCGGGTAGAGCACATGAGCATGGACAGAATGCTGTCTGTGGCAAAGATGGTGGCCTCGTCCTTCTCGGCGAGCTCCTGGATGATGGGGTCGTTTGAGGTGGTAATGTTGTATGAGGCACGGTCGATGGCTGTGAGTTTTTTCTCGGAGCCCTTGACGGGAGGCTTATCGTAAGAGCGGTCGTAGGGGTAGAGGAATCCGTAGTCATCGAGGTCCTCTCCTTCATCGGTGTCGAGGTTTAGCTTAGCCAGACGGTTGAAGTCAATCTCCTCAAGCAGCTCCCAGTCAGCACGGATGGCGACACTGGCATCTCGGTTGCGGGCTGGCTTGTCGTAGTCCTTCCAGCCAAAGCGGCGGCCACGCGCGCCACCAGCACCTCGTCCACGGTCGTAGCCACTCTGTCGGCCACCAGGACCGGATCGCTGAGCCTGGCCACGCCCACCGCGAGCATCGCCTCGGCCACCACGCTGGCCACGGCCGCGAGTGAAGACGGCACCGCGACCATATCTCGTCTTGGTGGTGTCTCGTGTGTTTGTGACAATGGAGAATGTGGACTCGTCCTCGGCAGCGGGGGCGTTGAAGGTGACGGCGTGGCTGGCACCGTATACTTGTTGGTCTGGAGTTAAGAACAAGATTAGCATTTTGATCACCAAGGGAAACCACACTGCCTCTAGATGCCCTACCTCTGTAGCTACGGTTGTACTGCATACGACCGCCGCGCTCTCGGTCCTTGCCCTCCAGAGTCCAGTCGGCCATGCGACCTAACTTGTCACCCTTGGAGAAAGGCGCATAGGGCACACCATCGAGGGTGGTCTCGGTGGTTACGGAGGGGCCCCAGCCGTCGCCAGGAGGGCAGCTCTCGCATATGCGAACGTAGTCGAGTGTGTCGGCAGACATCTTTGCTCTCCTTGAGTCGATCCTGAAGAGCTTAGGAAAGTGGCCTGGATGCTGCAGGGTGAGTAGTGAGGCTTTCCCTTTCAGGCTCACTCGTTGACAAGAATTTGGAATCGCGAGAAACGAATTTGTGGTGGGGTGTGGGGCTGCCTAACGAAAAGTTGCAAAGCCCCGCGCCACCACTCAGTGTCTCATACATATTTGCAGGCTCAGGCCTGTTTATCCACTGCCGTCCAATATTCAGAAATGAGTAAATTTCAACTTCAATTCATTACATAAAATAGATTCCTTGGTGATCAAATGGCATCAAATGGCACAAACTGCGCAGGCTCTCCCGATGTACCACTGGGGCACTGAGGTTTTGGCACTATCCTTCTAACCGAAGTGCGCACTAACATGCAGGAGATGTGGGTAGATATTATCTGTTATACTGGATAATCGCCTACCCGCCCTAAGCAGATATCTCACCATTCTGGTTAGTTGCAATTACCCCCTCCATCTGTCGACAGTCAAGTCGGTTTCCAAGGACATTTTCGATGGCGTCTCGCACCTCGAATTCCTCGGTGACTGCGCCGAACCTGCAATCCGTTGAGTGAAATGCTCGAAAAGAGGGTTTGGCTGGAAATGTGATATAGAAGGAGCTTACCCGTAGCATCTAATCTTCTTCTGCAACTCTCCAGCCAGCGTGACGAAGTCTTGAGCCTTCAGATCTCCACTCCTCGGGTGCGCCAGGATCATGGTCCATGCCATCACTGGGGTGACCTCCCCATCGAGGTCGAGTTGGGAACTGAGTTCCAACAGCTTTGAGAGGTCACCCTTCTCCAGCTTCCATGTCCTCTGCCCGCAACTTGGGCCGCTCCGGAGAGGGCACTGGCCAAATGTGTCTTCTGGTGACAAGTCGTCAAATGGACGGGGCGGACATGACACCATCAGGGCATGGCCGCATGGCTGACTTTCGGCTTCGCTCGAAACGTCTAACAAGACAGGCATATGGTCCATGCAGGGGCGTTCGAGTCTGTTTAAAACCCCGGCAAGCATCTCAATCGTTAGCAATGTCAACACAAAGATACATCATGCATGCAATATCCGCTATGCTCCATGCGCACGAATGCGACTATCATCTTGGTGATGGGAGGGCAACGGTAATGCTCTTGGAGTGGAGGGTTTATCGTACGCGAGGACAAAATCAATGCCGGCCTGGTCATAGTCTATGCCGCTTAAGGTTTCCTTCTTGAGCGCATTATTTCCTGGCTTTTGTGTATCTAGAGATGGTTGAATGCTTGGCGATGCCGTGGACGCTTCGGTGGACGATCGTAAGGTGGGCGAGATCAGCCCACTCTGATCTGACTGGTACGGTCCGCTTTCTGGACTGGACGGGGCTGGGAGCGAAACACCGTGCTGGACAAGCAAGCTCTTCAGCTCCTTGTTCTCGTCGATCAATTTAGCCTTCTCCTGACATGCTGTGCTGTACACTTCTTTGAGCCTCAGTACTTCATCCTCCAGGCTCGTAATGTACATCTCTTTGCGCTCTCGGTGGGTTCTGTTACAGCATTAGAATACGAGTTTGAAGCAAGAGTCGCTATTGAATCGTAGAGTCGCGCGCACCGTTGGGCCTGTCTATTCAGCTCCTGCCTCCTCGTCAGAGCTGGTTTCCGGTCGGGCTTCGGCCCCCGTCGCTTCGGCTGGGCTTCATCCGCTACTCAGTGTTAGAGGAGGAAAAACAAGGGGTTGGCCATTGAAGGCGTTATAGATGGGTATGTCATCGTACTACTGCGAACATTCCGCCTGTCAATTAGAGTCTTGAAGACATCGAGACTGAGCGAAGATAGCCCCCCGCCGAGTTCGGGTTCTTTGCGCCCTTCCGAGGGCTGAAAGGGTCGCGTCGATCGGAGTCTGGTCGATGTAGATGACATTGGTCCTGCCAAGTTCAGCAGACAAGGATGGCGCGCATATCAAAAGGCTATCTTTTGGCAATATAGTTGTAGTTTGGCGTGCTCGAGGCTCTGTGCTGATGCGAA